TGGTGTACAATTGCTTACTTTAGTGGTGGTTATTACCTTGATATGCTGTTGCCTTGGACTCATTGAGACCCATTAGGACATGTTTGGTGACTTTATTGGGTGCTATCAGTCCTTTGTGGGTATCTGCAACCTACATTATTTCTTTTCCTACTGTAATTTACATTAATTATTAGTCATATAAAATAGTTTAAATTAACCATGATAAATGATTTAAGTGATAAACAAACCAGAAAAAATAACTTTCTCCTTCCATTAACCTCATTCCCTCTTACTAAAGATAACCATTGTTAAGTCTCTTATGTGTTCTTTCAAAAACATTCTACGCATTTTTCTGTATATACTTTACCCAAATGGGTTCATATTATGCAAACTATTCTTTTTTATCTAATATATCTTGGGAAGATTTTCTTATTTTAAAAAAACAGCACTGTATCTCCAACTATGGATACACTGTTACTTTGTAAATAATCCCCAGTGAATATGGATCGTTTAAATTGTTTCATATCTTTCCTATTACAAACAGTGGTACAAAAAAATGTTCTCGTAGCCCTGGCTGATGCGGCTCAGTTAGCTGGAGCTTCGTCCAGTACACTGAAAGGTTGTGGGTTCGATTCCCGGTGGGGTGCCTCAAGGAGGCAGCCACTCGATGAGTCTCTTTCATATCAATGCTTCTCTCTCTCTCTCTCTTCCTCTCTCCCTTCTTCCATCTCTAAAATCAGTGAAAGGCATATCCTCCAGTGAGGATTAATAATAAAAGTTCTCGTAAATATATATTTGCACACTGTATCAGCATATCTATAGGATAAATTCTTAACAGTGGAATTACTGGCTGGAGAGCCGGTGCACTACACACAGGTTATTGCTACTTTACCCTTCCATAAAAAGCAAGTAAATGAGAGCCTGTTTCCCCACACCCTCACCCACAAAGTATTATCAAACTTAAATTTATATCCATCTGTTAGGTGAAAATTGGCATCTCATTGTTTTCATTTAGATTTTTATGTTTAAAAAAAAAAATAAATTGACTTTCATTTTTCTATTGAAAAAAATATTCCTAGGAAGATTACTAAATGAAGAGCTCTAGCTATTTACAAAAAGTAGAAAATGATGATTATAAGCTAAAGAATCAGAATGTTTTCTTTTAGTTTTGCCAATTTTATGTTTTATACCATCTCACCTTAGCTTATACATATATATCATTCATTCATTTACAAAATACCGACTGTTTACAAAATACTGATAGACACTGACCTTGAAGAGGCAGATTTTGTTAGACAAAGACATATGCGTGGGTCTGCATTTGTGGAGCCTGTCTTCTGAGGTATTAAATCCAAATCTTCGTATTTGCCCAACGCTTCTCCATGAATGTCCATTTTTTCAGTTTTTCATAAAATAGCTTTAGCTATCTGTTAAACAAGTGGAAATTTATTAACCAAAAGGAGATTGGGTTTGTACTTGTCACACCAGGTTATCTGCCTCTTACTTGCTCCTTCATAGTTGATTTCAGTGTCTGACCCCCTGAATGTGGCCAGTAACGGAGTTCAGGGGTCAGTGTTCAGATGGTGAAGTGACATGCAGTTTACACTGTCTGTTCATTGGTTCGTTTGTAATTTTGTAATTTCCGTTGAACCTAGAAGACTGATGACACACAGCCCTGGGCCACGTATTCATTGGTCAGTCCAAGGGTTTGATGTAATCCCTGTTCCAACTACTGGCAGCAAGAAGGGGACAGTCTAGTAAGTTATTGGCTGGACTTTAGACAACAGGGAAAGTCTGGAATCGATCCTACCATTTGTGCCCTCCTTGATATCGCAAGTGAATATAGGAAGGAAAGAGTTAGCATTTTCCAAATAGTAGAGTGTTTTTGAGGCGTTAATGCTCCTTTTCTAGAGCCTTTGCTCTCTCTACCACCTTTCTGGAATGAGACATAGGGTCGTTTCATTGAGTGCGAAGGCCCTCTAGGCATGTAGAGTGTCAGTCACCACGCTCTTGGGTGTATGTGTATGTGAACTGGGCAAGTGAGAGGTTGCCGGAGAGGCCTGCTCAAGATAATACAGGCGATCCTTGCTTTGCACAGTAGTACAGGGCCATAAAAATACTGCAAATTGAAACTGTGTAGTGTGATTTGAATAATCCATGGAAAAAATTATGATCCATGATTTTTAAAATTTTTGTTAAATAATGAAAACTCTGACTGTTGGTTATAAACATGTAGGGAATTAAACAAAAGCAGCACTAATATTTTTAGTGCCCTGTAATTTAAAACATTAGAAATATTGAGAATTAAAGAATCTTATTTTTTGGTAAAAAACTTATTAAGATTAGTTTAAACAGTGCTTGCTGCCTCTTGTCGTGTAACTTACAGTAGAGAGGAGCACCTTTTTCATGCCTTGGCGAATTGTCACACTGTTTTCTGAGTTTGGGTCAACTTCCAACGTTTTATCCTTTGTGCTGTCAGTGTTTTCAAATATCTCTGAAAATCCTGTAAATGTCAAATATTTTGCAGGCGCCACTTTCTCTGGGGCCAATTCATCCTTTCTGTCACAACCACTTTCCTCATGTGTGTTGAGAAGTTTGCCTCACTAAGTCCCTTTGGTTGCATATCTAGATTCTCTCAAACGGTGGCAGTGTCATCGTCCCCATGTCAGCAATTCTTCTGTTACTCCACTTGCATTTTACTCACATTTCACTTCCAGCATTATCACTTCTAATTTCTTTACTGTGCTTTCATCTTTGTTGACAAGTTCCTGGGAGACAAGGGACGACATAAGGGCCCACTTTGCTGCCTGCGCGTGGACCTAACAGCAGATGTGCAGTGTCAGCCACCAGCAGGCTGTGCGAGGGGTGGCAGGGCTGGTCACTCAGCGTGATGCGCACCGGTCCTTTGCATAGTGATTATGGATTAAAGAGTTCGAGGTGAAATTTGAACTTTATGCCGTTGTAGTTAATATACCATGACGACTGAAATTTGAACTTTGTTGTTGTTATTTAACCTAAGTCACGGCGACTGAAATTCACGCCTATCAGGACTGTGCAAAGCAAGGACTGCCCTGTAGATTGGCCACCAAGTACGTGGCCCTGACGGCATGTGATTTCAGTAGTAATTACAATTTTGTTGAGTATGCTGGTTGTAGATTAGGCTGACTGTTTTTAAGGCTTTTTAGAGATAACTTCGAGAATGTAAATATTTATTTGCTCTCAGTATCAGGATAGGCTAGATCATGCTGTGGCATCAAGTGACCCCCAGATCTCAGTGCTCTTGATACCTTCCCATGCACATTGGCCCTCACTTCTGTGCTTACACTGGAACCCGGGTGAGGGAGGCCTCATTTCTGTGCTTTTGTAGTTACTAAGGCAGGAACTGGGAACATGACAAATGCGTGTTACCTCTTAAAGTTTCTACCCAGAAGTGGTACATACCATTTTCAATCCCATTTCACTGGCCAAAACAAGTCACATGGTCCTGTCTCCAAAGAGGTAGGGAAGTACAGTTCTACCATGTGCTGAGAAGAGAGGGATGTTGGGCGAGCGGCATTAGTACTAGTATAGAATCCACAGAGTTAATTGATGAGGGTGACTGAGGGCTGGGATTACAGACATACGTGTTAGGTTATCTCTGTCTGCTGGTGAAAGAATCAAGTTGTGGCAAAATTGTGTGTACTAGCATTGCAGGACCCTGGACCCTGCGATTACGTGAAAATTAGGGCGGAAGGTCAGGATGAAGCCAGGAAGTTGCGATGGAAGGGAGATGAGTCACAGAGGTCAAGCGGAGCCTTGACAGAGCCCTGGAGACTAGAACTTATTCCCGTGGGAGCCCTGAGGCTACCTGCCATTCTAAATGGTTTCAACTCTTTTATGGTCTTTGAGCCTCTTTCTGTGCTTTATTTACATTTAAGTTGACAGCAGCCTTGGAAGTTCTGGGATACCTAACAGAGATGACTCAAAATGAGCCTTGAAGGAAATGTAGGCTGTGGCTTGGTGGAAGGTATGTTCAGGGCATTCTGGAAGGAAATGGGAGAGGAAGCATAAGTGCAACTAAAAGTAGGCTACTATGAAATTGGTAAGAGTATAGACCTCCTCAAAACAGGATGAAGTAAAAGAACCACAGGGACTTAATTGCATAATGATCCTCATTTAGTTATTACTTCTTAATGTTTGCCTTTAGCCACAAGTACATTAAACTCTACAAATCCTCAGCAGTGTACTCAGATGGCTGCCTTTAAAGTACCTCGTCTCATAGTACCTGTATCACCGACGCTTAATGCTTCAGTCCACCCACATGCCAATTTAATTTAGAATCGCTCCCTAGTTGTACTCACGTCTGAACTTCCCATTTTAATCTAAATGTGATCCAAACTTCTTGTCCAAACTTTCTCTACTAGTCTGAGTTAGGAGAAAAAGTATATATAAGGCATACCTAGTCGAGCAGAAACCAGACTCATTCGTGGATTTCTTGGCATTGAATGGAATATTATATTTGAGAAAAACCTAGGCAACATAAAGTGGTCAATTATGGTATTGTATTGTCACATCTGGGATAAAAACAGTACACTGAATCTGTTATAATCAAGTGACCACCTTATATCTAAACCTTCAGTCAACTGAGGGCCTTCAAATCAAACATCTGTGTTCTCGGACACAGCACTTGACCGATCAACTGAATTTAGACTTTTTACCTAGGCATTTTGGTATGGTGTAGGCTCGCCCTTAGTGTTGGACCCACTGGGCTTTGGGGAGCTGCTTTCATTCTTTCGGCTTCCTGTTACTTTTGTAACAACAGTGCCCTAAGCAGGTCTTTGGGTCCAGGGGATGGCCCTGCTGCGTGTCATTTTCAGGACAGGGACTGTGCTCCAATGGCATCAGCAGTTTTGCCACTTACCCGGCATTTTAATTTTTCTGTGTGACTTACGGAACTTGGGAGAATATATTACTAAAAGATGTAAGACGCCTTTTAATTTTGCGAACTGGTTATAACACCAGAAATCCTTCGTTAACATTAGGGCAATACACTGTCTTCTGCGAGACCAGCCAACGTGCTAGAAATGATGAAAGAGTGGAAAGATAACCCGGGCAGCGACGAGGAGAGCGCGGCCGACCGGACGGACAGGCCGGCCAGCCCCGGGCCACTCGAGGGCTGCCAGCCCAGCGTGTCCAGCGGGAACGTCCCTGGCGCCATGTCCACTTCGGACGAAGACGACGAAGAGAAACAGGTAGGAAGCGCCGCGGCCGGGAAGGGGGCCGCCTCCGTCCCCAGCTCCGCGCCCTTCGGGCTGCTCTGGACGGGCCTGCGACACAGCAAAGCTCTCCCCCCCTGGAGCCCTCCCCCCAGCAAGGCGGCCACCGGGCTCCTGGGCCGCAAGGGAAGGCACGGAAATAGCCCAGTCGTGGGGTGGCTGTCCCTGTCGCACGCGGCCGGGCACAGGCCGTTAGGACAGGCCGGGACAGCTGGTGCCAGATTTGGCCCACGGGTCAAAATGGATAATTTTTTTTTTGCCAGGCTATACAGTTTGGGAGGGGTTTATGCATTACCTAGAAAAGAGTTATTACATTGTTCTCTTATTTGCTTCTAATTTTATGATACCTAAAACAATTTATGTAGCTTTATCATTTTACATTATTAAATCCCAATATAGTCTTATTCTTTTTGGTGAATAAAATTTCATAACATTTTGATTAATTCTAGATTGTGTCCTACTAACTGGATAGCCTGATGATTTATCCAGTTTTCTGTGTTTTTGGAGAAGTTTTCTGTATGTTTTCTTTCTTGTCTTGAAATCTAATGAGCACACGTTAGCTCTTCTTTAATAATTGAGCACCCTGCCAGTGGGGGCTGTGTTCCCCTCAGGGCAGCCCAGGCTTCCTGTGAGGAGCTGCTACTTTTCGGGTCTCTGAAGCCCAGAGCAGTGGATGGAGAGGGACTGGGGTAAGTCCCGAGCCTCACCCCGGAGGGGCAGCGGTGCTGGCCTGCACCCTCCGTGCTAAGAATCCCGGCAGAAAGAGACCTAGTAAAGTGATGGATTGGTTCTGATGTACTGGCTGGGAACTTCTTCAGCCACTTGATAGAAAATGTCTAGGTTATAAGCTTAACATTTAATGATCCAGGTATTTTGAAATATTTGTATTTTTGCCATAATGTAAACATACGTTTATTGAATTCCCATCATCCTCTCTAGTCTGCTAACAGCTCCTGCAGGGCTTAGTAGCTATGAGCATTTTATATTCTTGTTAAAAATAATATTTAAAAACCCATGTTTGCACTCCCTTATTGAACATAGTTTGAAGGTTTTCCTGTTAGCTGGCTTGACATTTTACACACACATATACATATGCACACACACGTATACATACCCCACACACACACACGTTTTCATACACGTAGATTACACAGATATACTCACATGCATCTACATATACTCACATATATACAAACACAAATACATATACACCAGTACATATACATTGTTTTGTAGTCGGGTTGTATCTGTGTTACTGAAGTTGGCATAAAATATCCCTGTGACCCAAATGTTTGATTTCCTTCCATCACCTTTTCCATCGCTCTGTCACACACCTGCCCTTTGCTCCTCCAACCTCCAAGTCTCAGAGTGATGAGACTTGCTGTGCTCTTCTCAGCTGCTTCCAGCTGGGAACAGAGGAATTGGAACTGAAGGTGCTTATAGGTGATAGAACTATACCCAGTGGGTCAAAATGTCAAGAATATAGATTTTGCCCTGGCAGGGTAGCTCAGTTATTTAGAGTGTTCTCCCGATATGCCAAGGTTTCGGGTCAATCCTCAGTCAGGAAACAACCAATGGATGCATAAATGGGTGGAACAACAAATCGAAGTTTCTCTCTCTCTCCCCCCATCTTCCTCTTCCTCTCCCTCTCTCGCTCTTGCTTTAAAATCAATCAATAAAAATTTAAAAAAAGAATATAGATTTCTACTCAACAGAAAGAACTTTCTCACAATCAGAGTTCACCTGCAGTAGGACAGGCTGGACCATGGGTAGTAAACCCTACCTCCCAATCATTGGAAGTATTCAGGCAGACTCTGGAAAGCTACTTGTAAATGCTGTAGCAGAAATTCCTGCCAGATGGGGTAGACCTTTGCCCTGGAAACAAAGGACCCACTAAGGAGCTTTCCCACACTTAGGTTTGGGCTGTGATATTTTAGGAGGAATACCTTCCCTTATTTGGGAATTTTCCTGAAAAGTGTTACCCCTTAAAAGAAAGAATTGTCATGCATTTAATATACTAAGTTTTTTCAAGGATTTTTGTGAATAAATATGTTACTTTGTTAATTATATTGAAGTTGAGTTTATGTTAAGAATTTACTTTTTCCTTTCAAATCTTCATTAACAGCAAGTAGTGGTATATAAAATTCTTAAAGTGATAACTGAAAACAGAGTTGGCCACTTACTCTTGAGTCCATACAGGATTCATGTAGTAATTAATATTCTTAAGAGTGAAATTTTATTTTTGTTGAAATTTATTCTATGAATATTGAAATACTTCCCATGGGAAAATTTTGTTTGTTAAAATTATAAGGACAACTTGATGTGATAATATGAATTAAGAAAATGTATATGATTCTCTTTCCATTAAAATGTTTGAAAGTTGGCTTTAATTTAAAAGAATATCTGCCAGCAGTTCCTGCTTTCCACCTTACCATTGTTACCTCTTCTGGAGAATCTCATAAATCCATTTGGAGCTCCGGATTTTGTATTTCTCACAAGCCAGGAAAGTCACACTTTTTAGATAAGTGGCAGAGCTCTTAGAAAACTAGCAGAGAAAGTGAAGATTTGTCATAAACAGAAACAGAAACACTTAAAATAAGCACTTTCCTCTTTCCCTGAGTAGTGTTGCCCTAGTTCCATGTGCCTGGACATTGTAGAAGAGCTCAGTCCGCATCCCCGCACTAGCCGTGCTTGGACTAAAGGCGTCACACTTCACTCTCAAACTTGCTTTCAAGTAGTTGCCATTTGGCAATGTCCTTTTTTTCTTTTCTAACTTTTAGCCTATATTAGGTAATGGTATTCTTTGAGGACAGAAAAATTGTCTCATGTTTATCTTCTGTTTTCCAAGCTGAGTAGGCCTAGATAATGTTTTGTGTTATTAGGTAACCCTCTGAATTCCCTACAGTGGGTCCTTAATCTATTCTCTCAGGTAGACCCAAGACTAACTCCTACATTTACTCATCTTTAAATGATACACTTGGCAGACCATTGTTTCTTGCAAGAGAGTGAAGCTTTTAACACTAGCTCCTTAGTGATTTCTGATAAATAGTACAATACTTCCATTATTTATTAAGCTCAGAAAACAATTTAAGAGAAATGAATGTCACCAAGGGAGGCACTAGAAACTCTGGATGTGATAGAAATACTATATTTGCATCACAGAATTCTTGCTTCATAAAGGACATACTTCTTAGTTGTTAAATTATTTGTTGAATGCAGTTGAATATATTTGTTTAATGAAAATGGAAAAAAAATTTTTGATTACTTTGTGATAATTTTTCTTGACTGAAAACATGCCTTTATGATATCATAGGAGATAATACATGTAGCAGATACTTTACCTAGTCTAGAAAGTAGAAAGGCACGGTGGCTTAGAAACTTTGAAAGTTATTTTGATCATTGAAATGTATTTATATAGTAGTTCTTAAAGACATGAAGTGTTTGAAATTTAAAAACACTGAAATCAAACAGTTGAGTTATGGTACATCGATATGTTTCTCTAAGGAAAAAGTCAGGTTTTCTTGGTATTTTAGTTGAATGGGATAAAAATTTTCTTTACAAATTAAATTCTAACTCTCTGAGCCCGTGTGAGTCACATGCAGGCTTGGTGGTGCTTGCACAATTCTGGCACATTTTTGTTCCCCAGCAGTGAAGCATTGCAACCTGGTATATGTGCCCAGGCACTGCACTTAAAATATCATAATGGTTAAAAGCACAAGCCCCGGATCTAGGCTGCCTGGGTTCAAATCCCGGCTTTACAACTTATAAGCTTTACTACTTTGAGCAAGTCTCTAGGCTTGTTTTCTCATCTGTAAAATGGGATTAATGGCCTTAACCAAAGACTAAATGAAGTCTCACATGTAACACTCTTAACATATGGTAAGCACAGATTAGTGTTAACTTATTTTTATTATTATATTACATAGAATATTACTAAAATTGCGTGATTTTTCCTGCCTGCTTCAAGGCTTCTCTGGATATAGGTGTTGAAATAAACTAATGAAAAAGAAACTAAGAAAAATAATTACTATTTTCATAGGTGATAAGGGAATCCCTCCAACCTCATTTCCCCTCTGCGTTTGGAAGGGTCCCTAGGGTACTGTGATAACATTATTTCCCTCAATTATTCAATCCCTCCCTGTGAGGGATTATACATTCACACCCTTTGCCATGTGACTTTGCAGTTCTCCCTGTTATAGTAGATGAAGGAAATTCTCTCACTCCACTAATGTTGGTCTGAGCTGCATGACTCACTCTGGCTACTGGAATAGTAAGAGGTGTGATGTAAGCAGAGACCTTAAAAGCGTTTGCATGACTGAGCTTGCTCTCTTGTATTTATGCCACCTGCCATGAGAAGAATATGCCTACGGGAAGCCACAGTTCTTGGAATCATGAAGATTTGTGGAGCAGACCTGAACCTAATACAAAGCCTAAAGTCTAGCCTACCACAGCCAAGCCCTACAGCTAATTGAGAGAAATTGTTTGTTGTTATAAGATACTGAGACTTTTGTCATATTGCTTATGTAGTTGTACAGAAAAGAGTTAACATAACAAGCCTGAACTGCTGTCTTTGGAAAGGTTTGCTTGCAAGGCTTGCCCTTGGTTGGCTTCTGGGAACTGAGATTTTGGGATGGGTGCAACCGTTAACTGATAAGAATGATTCATCGAGCCTAAATTGTTTGTACAAACAATATGCTTTCTGCTGAACACCTGCTTTCCTTCTGGGAATCTGGCCTTCTGGCAGGTGCTAGGCAGAGGCTGCCTCCATGACCAGCTCCCAGTGAGAACCCTGGGCGCTGAGAGAGCTTCCTTCGTTGGCTACATTTCACATGTGTTGTCGCAGCCTGTTGCTGGGGTAATTAAATGCATCCCGTATGACTCCTGGAAGAGAACCCTTGAAAGCTTGAGCTGGTTTCCACTGATTTCCTTAAGTGCCTTTTACTTTTGCTAATTGTGCTTTACATCCTTTCACTGTA